CAGACATAGTCTAGCATATTATTAAGTATTAATATAACAATAATTAGACTAATTAACTAGAATCAGATTGTTTCAATTTAATTATTATATTTGGCAGCAAAAAATTCTTGTTAAGGCATAAAAGTGGAAAAAAAAACATTGCAAAATTGGTATTGGCGGTAGAGACATTGTTTTCGAAAAACGTTTTGAAAAAATAACCAATATATAACCTAACCTACCCATTCATTAAATCAGACTTTGCGATCTTACATGTGTATATTAGGGTAYTGTCTGTACAGATTAAGTGTTAGTACAGGACTCAATCCTCAAGAAGACGCCATCTTTCGGAATCAGCGTGAAACCTGGTATCATCTTGAGTGGAACCTGTGTCTCAGGACAACGCACAAACCTGTACTTTGTCAAGATGTTTACCAAGGTGATCTTGACTTCCAGCTGAGCAAATCGCTTACCGATACAGTTTCGAGGCCCTTCACCAAATGGCAAGAACTGGAATGGGTGTCTGGATKCCTTTGCAGGGCCACGGAATCGCTCAGGGTCAAAATTTTCAGGTTCAGGCCAGGCTTCAGGGTCATGGTGAAGCCTGTATATGGGAAATACTACTTGCATTCCTCTCACTCGTTCGCTGGGCTCAATCGTGAGAGATCTTTTCAACACTCGAAGATAAATTTCGTATCTCCGCGCGCCCATGTAATATCCTCTGTTTCTTTCATTAAGCTCACCAGTTTCCATTATTGCTCTATCCTCTGTAGTATTGACAGTCTTTACTGGTGTACAACACTACCATCAGCTTTGGGATTGTTGGTTTACCTTCAAAAGAAACATAGTTGATAAGTTCTCGAGTCACAAACCAGATATATTCAGATATATTTCCAGAACCGACGACATTTATCGCGACAACTTTAATAGTGTAACTGGTGTTCTTTGTCAGGCCATAGAAATAGGAATGAGTGCTTGTTGCTCTATTTTCTTGTGGTGGGTTTGTGTTGATTTGTACTTTGTAATCAATAACATGACTTCCACCATCATAACCAGGTTTGGTCCACCTTACATTCACTGATGATGCTTGGATATCGTGGTCTAGTATCGTGAATTCGGTAGGGCCTGGTTGAACTAACATACAATTGAAATGAAATGCACAAACTTTAAAATGGGTTGAAAATACACCTAACCCCTAAGTAAACACAATAATTTCTCAGTATTGATTTTACCTGAAGTGAATAGCTGAATGGTGAAAAATGTTTTTAGTTCAATGTTGCTTCTTTCAGTTAAAAATGTTTATACTTTTACTATTTTGAACATTCATTTGTATGATACGGTCCCTAATAATATTCACACATTTTCACTCTTACATAGCTGTGAAACCCTAATAAGTGCTCATCTTTGCCCAGCAATATTTACAGCTTGACATTTGTACAATCCATAGTCTTCACCGCACTCTGTTGTTCTTACTGTCACTTGACTACCTTCAGTTAAAGTCTTGACACCACATGATATTTGTTGACCACTGGGTTTGTACCACGTGACGTGTGGTTGGGGAAATCCATCTACAATGCACTTGGATGTCATCATGTTACCATTCCAAGAATGCCAACCACGGCAAAAAAAAAAGTCGCGGTGTCCACTAATTTTGTAAAAAGAAGCACGGAGGGATAATTTATATTAATCTCGCATTATTCCTACCTTTTACCAGGCGGGGATAACTTCCGATTATCTCTTCGTTTTGCTCGAGTTTCCCATGTTATGCCTACATTTTACCGACATGTAAAATGAGGAGATAACTTCACATTTTGTCATACATTTTCCTTGCGTTTTCCAAGACAGGAAAATGCTTGTAATCTCATACATCAGTTCCCTACATTTCACCAATGCGATAATCCACACAATATACGAATTATTCTGTGCGGTAACCCCCAGCATTTGTTGCGTTTTACCAGCATTATACCTACATCATCCTGCTACGGGATAATTCGCCTTTTACCTACATTTTATCGTTGCGGTTATGCCGATGAGATAATAAAAGGTGTTCCTTGAATTATCTTGTCATGGCTCGGTGTTTAGGCCCTATTAAGTCTGTTCCTCAAATGATTGCTTGTTAAACTGATTTAGTTTCTATCAGATTTACAACAAGATAAAAGACATATTTAAAATCAGGTTACAGCAACAAAGCGGCTGGCCGCCATTTTGGATTATCGCTGGAGGTGATAATCGTATGATAATCTGAGTTTCTCGACCAATCAATTAATCATCGCCAACTATTCCGGCCATGCGCCGCTCGTCAAGTCAGCGGATATCATGTATAAAATAGAAACCACAGGAAGCCCAAGCTCTCTCAGGCCCGGACTTAGAGAAACAAAAGTTTTTGCTACGGTATTCCTATGCTTTAATAGGTATCCTATTACAAACGATGGCAAACGAGAGCTGTGAGGATTCAAGCTTTATTTTGGTACCAAACATGCCGTATTTTGCGAATAATTTTCAAGGTTTTTACTTCACAAAGTGCCTATTCTTGAAGAAAGGATCTCACAAACTCGTCTCAAAGCGGAGCTTTTTGAAAACGAAAAGTATAAATTCGTTCAATCGACCAC